TGGCAAAAGTATAAGAAATTAAGATACGGCAGGAGGGAAAGCTTGCCCAAATAGTCAGGTTTAAATTTGTTCCTAAAAACACCCAGAGAGGGAGCCAGGTGAATATCCACTGGCAAGTTGTTCCAAAGGTGAGGGGCCACTTCCGAGAAGGCCTGATTCCTTGTTCTTTCCTTCCAGACCTCCCTCCGCATTAGACCCCTCAGCCACCTGGCCTAGCTGGAACAAGTGACTTTGGCAGAACTGGGTGGGAGAAGGCACTCTGCCAGATATTGAGATCCTAAACCGTTTAGGGCTTTATATGTAATCGTACGAACTTTGAAATCAACGTGGAAACAAATGGGCAACCAATGCAAGGCAGCCAGAGTGGAGGAAATATGGTGGTACCTTTTCACTCCAGTAAGAAGTCTGGCCACTGCATTCTACACCATCTGAAGTTTCCACGTTAGTCTCAAAAGCAGCCCCACGTAGAGCGCATTACAGTAGTCTAATCTTAAGACTACGAGTGCATGGACCAAAGTGGTGAGTGTCCCCACAGCAAGATAGTTGTAGAAAACTGGGCAATCCGCCCAAGGTTGAAATGTGTGGAATGGACCACTGACGACACCTGGGTCTCCATGGTGAGTGTCAGGTCCAGATGTACACCCAAGCTGCGAACCTCACTCTTGGTGGTAAGAGTCCCCCCCCCCCCGCAAAGGAGATGGAGTTTCCGAGACCACTGATGTCTGGGACACCCACCTAAAGGACCTCCGTCTTGCCCAGATTCAGCCTCAATCCATTCACCTGCATCCACTGCAGAACAGCCCCCAGGTAGCGCTCAAGGGACGAAACAGCATCCATTGTTGTTGGGAAAAAAGATGTAGAGCTGAGTATCATCAGCGGACTGATGACACGAAGCCCTATATCCCCTGATGACCCCTCCCAGCGGCCTCATATAGATGTTAAATAGCACTGGAGAGATAATCAAGCCCTGCAGAACCCCACAATTGAGGCTCCATGGGGCTGAGAAACTCTCTCCAATCTGCACACTCTGGGGACAGTCCTCCAAGAAGGAACAGAGCCAGGCAAGAGCCTGGCCACCGATTCCCAACTTGGAGAGCCTCCCCAGGAGAATACTGTGGTTGATGGTATCAAAGTCGGTTGAGATATCGAGGAGGACCAGCAGAGACATTTTGCCCCATTGGCCTCCCTCAGTAGGTCATCAAACAGAATGACAAAGGCCATTTCCGTGCCGTGCCGTGGCCTGAAGCCCGACAGAAATGGATCCAGGGCATCTGTTTCATCCAGGTGCGCCTGAAGCTGGTCGGCCACCACCCTCTCAACTACCTTGCTGAGGAAAGATACATTGGCGATGGACCTATAATTACCAATATCGTCTGCCACCAAACTCGGTTTCTTCCTAATGGGCCTAATGAGTGTCTACTTGATGGGAGAGACCCATTAATTATTGCCATAGTCGATTCAGATGTTATAGGCCTGACTGCTTTGATTAGCCAGGCTGGGCAAGGGTCAAGGGAGGAGGTGGTGGCATGACGGTCAAGCACTCTGTCCACCATGTCTGACGTCACAGGCTGAAAGTTAGCTGTGATGAAGACTGAAACTAGAAGAAAATGAAAGTAGGATAAATTAATTAAGTGAAGCAGCTAAACATGTGAAAAAGGACAGGTGGCTGATGAAAATGGGAACTCCCTTTGTGGTTACTGGTGGACATGGGAGCCTGGCGGTATCTAGGCTTCCTAACCAAATCTCATCTCTAATTCTCCTCTCCACAAAGGATTTTGGAACACCAGTACAGTACTTGGTGGCTCCTCCCAACAGATTCTATCTATCCTTGGCTTTTGAAACTATAATAGGACTTAGTTCACTACCCACACTTCCCTTCCTACACTTGCTGCCTGCTTCTCATCCTGCCCATTACAGAGGCCAACAATCACATCCCCACTGTTTTGCCACACAACCGTCCTGGTGATCACCCGACTAATAATTACTCTTACTCTTACGACCAACTTGGTGCAATATGGGCTAAGATGCTGAGGCACAAAGCTAAAAACAAAAGTAGTGTCCCGAAACAAACACAACTGTGCTCTCATTCTAGTAAAACTGTATTTAAAAGTTCTTGTAAAATTATTTGCAAAAGATTCCAAATTCTCCTTTGACTACATTATAGCTTTTACTTCAGTTTTGGTTGTGTGCAAACTGTGGCTCTCCTAAGACATTTATGCCTGTAACTCAAAGGGGGGGGGGAAATTAAGTGGAGGATTGACCACTGAAAACTGTGGTCTTGATGCTGGTTATTCAGTTCTGTGGCACTTTCTCTCTGCCAGTGTAACTGTCTGACTGAAATCACGCTGGTTAGCACAGTAAGCTGCAACTAGAGTAGGCCTATTGAATCAGTGGGAGATTTGGTGAGTCAACTTCTCCATAATTTCCACTGATTCAGTGGGCCTACTCTAGTTATGATTTATTTAGCACAACAATTAAATTATTAAAGAGAGCTTACCACTTTTATTTTTGTCTAAAATGCCTGCTCTTTGCCTTAATCTTTGTAAATAAGCAAGGAAATCTTTAATTCACTGCTCATGGATGTAACCCAGTCTAGCCATACTGAATGTACAGGATTATACAGTATTTCTTGTCATGCAGCATATGAATGCAGTAGTAATGGAGTTTGACTTGGACACACATCCTAAAAACAGTGTATTTGATGTTTCAAGTCAAACCAGTTCTCTCAAAAAATGAACAACTGTAATGTTTCTTTGTCTAAATAGCAAAACTGTACATTCATGTTGTACAAATCTTTGCAATCGTAACTGAATTAGCTCTGCAAAAAACATACTGTATTCCATTTTAAGGCTGTAGCAAACTGCCCACTTTCCATGCAACAGCTCATCCATAAACAAAAACAATAAAAACCAAATATCTAGTTTCAAGAAGAGTTCTAGAGAGCTGAAAAGCTTGCCACCAACGGTCTCAGTAAAGATACTACCGTACAGTTACTAAAAGAGAATACTGTATTCTAGTTTCTCTAAAGATTAATGGCATGTACTACTGTTCACACCAAAATGAACTGAAGAAATTGTGAAATCCTTCCACATGTTAAGTTAGAATTCTGTATTGAGATTTTGCTTTGGGGGATACAAAAAGGAAGAAACACAGAGGGGTTTTTCTAGCACACAGAAGAAGTAACAGCCATTAAGCCCGTTATTTTAGTTGTCTTTGTTCTATCATCATTAGCTTAGATGACTCCAAACAGCAACAATTTGGATGTGGACACTTTTTTGGGTTACAGAAATGTAATTCCGCCTCCATTACATGCATGTGCAATATGAATTTTAAGTGCAGTCCATATTACTTATGGAGCAGAACAGACTAAAATGTTTTTGAGGGTTGGGCACATTAATAAAAGAGCCGTTGTGCAAGACAAGCTTGCATATGTATTAATCTACGTGCCAGGTTTAGAAATGCACGTATTCATCACACTACACTGAGTATCCACAGTCTCAGTGCACTATTTTTAAAATCCATTTTCTTCATGAGAAAGGTCGGCCGCCCAGCCTGGAAGCCAAGGCTGTGTACACTGTGCATTACAACCAACACTCCACTTTGACAGGGGAAGCTTGGCGTCGGCTTCAGGGCTCTGCAGACCCAAGAAGGTCGGTGGGCTGTCCTCTAGGAAATCGCCATCTCTACGTCTACCCTCGTCAGTTCTCCTCAACCCAAAACCAGAAGCGCCAGCGCCAGGACTGGCAGGGGGCTCGCCGAGGTGAAGCGACTCCCTTTCCAAATCCTCTCTTCCTCAGCTTGGCCATGGCCACGCCTCTTTTCCCTTTCCCTGAAGAAAGGCCGCTCCCTATATCGGCCCCTCCGCCACAGACAGACACCCTACGAGTTACGTCTTTAGGGCTCTAGCTGCCCCCCGTTTCCCAGAAGAGCCCAGGTGTCCGGGACGCCTTCCTGGGAGTCACTTCCTCCTCCTCCTCCTCCTCGCCAAACGTCCCCGCAGCCTAAAGGCCGAAGAGCTCCCTCTCCCAAAAGCCCCCCTCCCGCTCGCCTCCTCCCGACAGGTGAAGCCGGAGGCCCTTACCTTGAGGAGAAAGGGTTGGGAAAACTCTTTGAGAAGTCCCGCCCGGGACCTGTCCTCGCCAGCGGGGAGCGGAGCGGGGCGGCGGGGAGGCAAAGAGGCCACCCTCCCCGGACGAAAACCCGCGCCCGTCTCCGCGAGGGCGCGTCCCAGCTCTTGACGGGAAGCGCCCCGACCTCCAGCTTCGCTCTCTTCAGACGGTGGGAAGCGAAGGGCCCGGTCCAGAAATTCTGGCGGCCGCCGTCGCCGTCGCCCTCAGTGCCACGCCTGGTGGGCCCCCCGCTTGAGGCCCCAAAGTCCGTTCAGGATGACTGGAGCGCTAGCTTCCTCATTTTCTCGCTCGCAGCCCCAGCTATTTCCTCAGCGCTGGGTTTCAAGCTGAGCCACACTTCCTCGTCGGGCAAAAAGCGCATCTGCCTTCATTTGCTTAAGAGAGTTTCAGAGCCGGCGAATAAACAGGGAAGGGGGGGGGAAGAGGTGCAGGCTTTTTTTTTTTACCCGAATGACTAAACCAAGGGACACTGCGGGGCCCGAGGCCGGGTGGGGGAAAGTAACGTGTCCGGAAATTTTGGACTCCTGTGAAATGGGGGGGGGTTTGGGGATCGAGTGTAGCATTTGTCACTTACCGTGTTGTAAACTCATCCGATCCCATTGACTGGTGGGGACCTGCTATAACTCTGAGCTCGTGTTGGAAAGCATGATAACGGGTGCCGCCTTTATTTTTGAAGAACAAGCGGCGAGCCTAGGATGAAAAGAGATCCCAGCCACCTTGGCTTGGTTATTGATCTCTCCGGAGAGAGGATTGGTTATTTAAGGAGCAGCACCTTCTCATGCCTTCACCAGGAGGCTTCTCAGAAGTGGCATGTTGAGGGCACTTGGGCCCAACTCACTGAACCATATTCAGTTCCACCCCAGTGAGACTGACTAGATAAACAGGTTGAGGGGACAGATCATCATCTCCTGTTGTATTTTTCAGTGGGGTGGCTGGGAAGGCAGAGATTACCCTTTCCCAGTGCTGTGCTCCAGAAAAATCACTGCTTTCTGCTGCAAAAGTGCTACAAACACCTCTTTGTTAAAAATACTCTGTCCTCTGCTAGAGTGCCACAAGTCTGGTCCATTTTGCCACAGTTCCAGGAAAGGGTGAGTTGTCAGGAAGTAGAAATAACAGCTGCCCTGTGTTGTTTGCATACTTCCTCCTTTCTTCCTGGAAGCATTCCCCCACTGCTTACAGAAACAGCCACTGTGAGGAATTAAGTTAGGCAGCAAGAACTTTCACCTAGTTTTTTCTGCACATTGCTTATCTGGTAACTGGAAAAAAAAAATATAGCTGGCCGAAGGGAGTGGGAGTTTCCCTAGATAAAAAGACAGTTTAAAAAACAGCAAGGAGAGAGTTCGTTTTTGCTGCTGAGAGGAAGAAGACAAGATGGAGATTTATGATGGACTGAAGAAACATTTACATGATTGATTTTATAGTCGTTGCTGAAATATCCCTACAACTAAAAAACTTCTGTGCTTTACCAGCTGTATTCAAGGACGTGAGATAATAATTTTTTTTTTTATTTAGAGAATGTGTTTAAGTATTTTTCTAGAGAAATGCAATGAAGGGGAGGGAAACTGCTTAGAGTAAAAAATTGTACAAATATCTATTTATATTATATTAGAGTTATGTTGATTTAATTCTTTAATAAATACTTCTGTCTATTTGACAGTTTAAAATTATGTTCTTTCCTGACCAAACCGAATGCATTTTGAGTACTGAATTTACGCTACCTAATTAATTGATGATTCAGCCCAACCAATTAAAATCTTATATGTCTGTGTTGTGTTATTTAAAATCAAGTGGGCTTTTTGAAACAGACAAGAGTAAAGCTCCTAACTGTTTGTATTTGGGCTGACGGACAGCAGAGAGAGGGGATTGCTTTGTTTGTTTATCAAATCCCTACTTGTGCTTCTCTAATTACTTTATTACAGCTTCTTAGGAACTGAATGAAGTAAATAAGAGTCGTTATAGGAGCAACTGTAAAAGAAGCACAGAGGAAGGTGGAAAGATCACTCAAATTAGTTTGAGGGTGAGACATCTTTGGAATGAGTACGGTAACTAGCTCTCAATAGTGCAGTGATGCAGGATCAAGAAAACAGTAAATGATTGAACATGCCAGCTCTCCATCATGTGCAAGTACCTTTTGAATTGCTGTGTGAACCTTGTTTTCCACAGGGAAAAAAATCTAGATTTTTCTGGATGTCTTCTGGATACCCAGAATCAGGGTTGGCTGGACCGTTAGGTAGCTGGCTGACTTCAGCAGTAGATGCTGAAGGGAAGACTGCAGTGGCAAGGGTGCTAAGGGTATAACTGTGTGTCCTGCCCTAACCCTTTAAGCTAGCGAGATGCAATGGAGAATACAGCCTCATAACTGATGCTGACATCACATTTTGCTGTGGAATTCTGGTTTGCTCTCCCTGGTTGATTGCACCCTGAGATAAGTCTGAGTTTTATTCCTCTGCTGCACTCTGTTAGGAGTCAGAAAAAAAAAGAAAGGCCCTCCCAGCACTCACAGCTTCTACTATTTACTCTCAGCAGTCATCAGGACTAGAAATGGGCATGAAACTGCAGTTTGTCAGTTTGGTCTGGTTCAGTGCAGAGCCTGCACAGGTGTTCCATTTTAAACATAAAACCTTGTGGTTTATGCAATCCCCCATTATCTTGCAGAACATATCAATTTCATTTTTGTGCACACAGTGTTTTTGCGCACACAAAAATGCTTCAGTTATACATGTAGGAAGAGTGGTAGAACACAAAACCTGCACAAACTCTCCCTTTCGGTAGAAGAGTTTTGAAAATTTTTGCTCTCACCTGCAAGAACAACATAAGAAAATATTTAATTTATAGGACTCATATTCATCTGGAGGGTGCCAGGCTGAGGAGTGCTAACTTATAGTCAAGAAGACATTTATAAACACAGAAAATACACCGGAAGCTCCATTAGAGGTGGAAAGAAGCCAAGAAAGGGTGAATTTGGGGATTTTAAAACAATCTTCCTTTCTCTTCTGTATCGCAAGGTGTAAGATTGGTGTTGGCACCTCCATTACCAAGACTTCACACCTTTAAAAGCAAGCCTGACAAAGCAACACACACAAATCCTTTTTAACAAGGGAGGAGAAATCCATGCACTTAGTTCTTCAGGTCATTGTGAAATCTTGGTCAATAATGCAATCAGGCCACTGAAATGAATCATCTCTCTCAAGGTACTGGCATGTGACCAGCTTTAAAAGGTGGTAATAGAATGAAGCCCCATTTTGTCTTTCTAAAATACATTTCTTTTGTACACTGGTGTCTCCTGCTACTGGTATCTTTCATCACCACGAAAATGGCAGCATTTCTCTCCATCTGCCATATAAATTCCAAGGAGAGAAGGAAAAAAAATTTTTTGTTGAAGTATTCCCTATGTTCCTCCTGACCATGGTCACAGATTAATGCAGCTGTTTCATGTTTCAAAAGTGACTAGTTTATTTTCTGACTTCTTATTTCCTTTTGGCATCTATGAAACTCCTTTTCTAAAGCCAATGAAATTTAGAGTTCCTGTTTGAACACAATCCTCAGAAATATGTCGTGTAGACCCAGAGGGTATCATCATAATAAGCACTCACCCTTTCCAGCCACGTAAAAGAAACTGTGAAAAAGGCAGATGACTTTCTTTTACATTGTCCTCATCTCAGGCTTGTAAGTATGGCAGCTAAGAAGGTAGGAGAGGGTTAGGGTGGGAAGAATGACAGAAGGTCAACTTTTGCTTCAGGCCACTGGTTCCTAACTTTGGGTCCTCTGATGTGTATTTATTTATTT